TAGGAAAGTCAAAGGGTGCAGTCACTTTGGAAATCTGTCTGGTAGTTTATCAAAAGGTTAAATATAGAATAACCACATGACCCAGCAATTCCATCCCTGGATATATACCCAAGAGAATTGGGTATATAACATGTCTATACAAAAACTTTTATACATAAATGTCCGTAGAACCATCATTCATAATAGTCAAAAAGTAGAAACAAGCCAAATGTCAACTGAGAAATGGATAAACAAAATGTGGTATTATTTATATAATGGACTCTTTTTCTACAATAAAAAAGAATGAAATACTCATATATGCTACAACACGGATGCACCTTGAAGACACATATTACATTATTCCATTTATATTAAATGTCCAAAATAGGCAAAACATAGAGACAGAAAGTAGATTACTGTTTGCCTTGGCCTAGGGGGTAGGGTGGGCAATGGAGAATGACTGTTGATGGGTGAGTATGGAGTTTCTTGTTGGGGTAATGACAGTGTTCTGCAATTAAATAGTAGTAATGCCACTCACTGCGTAGGGAGGAGCCCTGCTCTGCAGGAGTAGTCATGGAGCTGAATTTATGTTTTATTTATTTATTTACTTATTTTTGAGATAGAATCTCGGTCCATCACCCAGGCTGGAGTGCAGTAGCACGATCTCAGCTCACAGAAACCTCCGCCTCCCAGGTTCAAGCAATTTTTATGTCTCAGCCTCCCGAGTAGCTGGGACTACAGGTGTGTGCCACCACGCCCCAGTAATTTTTGTATTTTTCTTTTTTTTGAGGCAGAGTTTTGCTCCTTTTTGCCCAGGCTGGAGTGCAATGGCGTGGTCTCGGCTCACTGCAACCCGCTGCCTCCCAGGTTCAAGCAATTCTCCTGCCTCAGACTCCTGAGTAGCTGGGATTACAGGTGTGCAGCACCATGCTCAGCTAATTTTGTATTTTTAGTAGAGATGGAGTTTCACCATGTTGGCCAGGCTGTTCTCGAACTCCAGACCTCAGGTGATCCACCCGCCTCGGCCTCCCAAAGTGCTGGGATTACAGGTGTGAGCCACTGCACCTGGCAATTTTTGTATTTTTAGTACAGATGGGGATTCACCATGTTGGCCAGGCTGGTCTTGAACTCCTGACCTCAAGTGATCTGCCCACCTCGGCCTCCCAAAGTGCTGGGATTACAAGAGTGAGCCACCGCACCCAGCTGAATTTATTATTTTTTATATATAACAAAAAGAGTAGTAATGGTTGCCCAACCTTGTGAATATACTAAAAAAACCCTAAATTGTACACTTTATAGGATGAAATTTATATGTGAATTATATTTCAATTTTAAAACGTTAACCCTAAACCAGAGTCTCATCAGTCATAAAAAGATTAATATGCATCGTAACAATGATTAAATACCATAGAATATTATCAAGAAATGTTATAGAAGCTGGATGTGGTGGCACACATCTGTAGTTCTAGCTACTCAGGAGGCTGAGACAGGAGGATGACTTGAGCCCAGGAGTTTGAGGCTGCAATGAGCTATGATCATGCCTATGAATAGCCACTGCACTCTAGTCCAGGCAAGACAGTGAGACTATGTCTCAAAAAAAAAAAAGAAAAAAAAAAAGAAAGTGCTATAGTATCTTTGTTTCTTAGTAACTTTAACAATACAGGCTAGACTAAATGATTTCTTAGGTTGTATTGTTTATGCCCATTACAAAACCCATATCAAATAATATTAAACTAGCTCTCCCTCTCAAGAATACTTAGGAATACCTATACATTACTGTCTTGCATTATAATTCTATTCTCTTTTTTTTTGAGACGGAGTTTTCGCTCTTGTTGCCCAGGTTGGAGTGCAATGGTGCGATCTCGGCTAACTGCAACCACCGCCTCCTGGATTCAAGCAATTCTCCTGCCTCAGCCTCCCAAGTACAGGCATGCATCACCAAGCCCGGCTAACTTTGTATTTTTAGTAGAGATGGAGTTTTGCCAAGTTGGTCAGTCTGGTCTCGAACTCCTGACCTCAGGTGATCCACCTGCCTCAGCCTCCCAAAGTGCTGGGATTACAGGCGTGAGCCACCGCCCCCAGCCCCCCAAGTACAGGCATGCATCACCAAGCCCGGCTAACTTTGTATTTTTAGTAGAGATGGAGTTTTGCCAAGTTGGTCAGTCTGGTCTCGAACTCCTGACCTCAGGTGATCCACCTGCCTCAGCCTCCCAAAGTGCTGGGATTACAGGCGTGAGCCACCGCACCCAGCCCCTTGTAATTCTTAAGATACTAAATAGATGATGCTACCAATTTAGGAAGTGGGGAATCACTAGACATACTCTAAATTAAACTTTCTACTACTTTTGAAATATGATGCCTAAGTTGAAAATGAGATCTGCAGTGTGATGTAGGATTCAGAAGACCTTGCTTGCCGTCCTAGTTCCACTAATGATTTGTAATGTGACTGTGCGCAAGTCACTTAACCTCTCCGACTGTTTCTTCATCTGAAAAGTGGGGATAACAATTATCTTCCTTCCTTAGCATAATATCTTTCTCTGCCCACTTTTTGAGTTTTAAAACCTCTACTTCTCCATGAAGTAACAGGAGGTAAACAAAACAAATCTTACACCTCTGTGAAGAAGCTGGGGAAGGTACAATGACAGTATGGGATAAAGAAGCAGATGGGTTAGGGCTTATCATGGTAATGGCACACCAGTAGAAAAGTGAAATAATTCTGGCTTACTTAAGGAACCCTAGGTACAAAAAGACACTTCACCCTTTCTCTTGTGATTTTAGCAGAAATGGCAATGAGGTAGCCTATCAGTGTTCCTCCTGAACTTGGAAAAACTATCTGATGGCCTACTAACATTTTTAATACAGACACGTCTGACTGATTTTTTTTCTTTTCTTTTTGAGATGGAGTCTTGCCCTGTTGCCCAGGCTAGAGTGCACTGACATGATCTCAGCTGACTGCAACCTCCACCGCCCAGGTTCAAGTGATTATCCTGCCTCAGCCTTCCGAGTAGCTGGGACTACAGGCGCACACTATCACGCCCAGCTAATTTTTGTATTTTTAGGGTTTCGCCATGTTGGCTAGGATGGTCTTGAACTCCTCGGCCTCCCAAAGTGCTGGGATTACAGGTGTCAGCCACTGCACCCAGCCTCTGACTGCAATTTATAAGTACTTTATTAAATTATTTTTTGCTTTTGTTTTTGTTTTTGGAGATGGAATCTCGCTCTGTTGCCAGGCTTGAGTGCAGTGGCACGATCTTGGCTCACTGCAACCTCCACCTCCCGGGTTCAAGCGATTCTCCTGCCTCAGCCTCCCAAGTACCTGGGACTACAGGTGTGTGCCACCACATCCAGCTAATTTTTTTTTAAATTTTTAGTAGAGACGGAGTTTCACCATGTTAGCCAGGATGGTCTCGATCTCCTGACGTTGTGATTCGCCTACCTCGGCCTCCCAAAGCGCTGGGATTACAGGCGTGAGCCACC